GTACATTTTCTCGTTTTTTCTTTCTTTTTTCTCGGTTTTTCCCATTTGATGAGAAAACTCTTGAGAAAATCGAAAAATGACCACCTTAAAGTACCTCCCTAAAACGATTTTTTTCTACTGTATCTAATAAATAATACACATACACATATTTATAATACCATTGTATCTATTTTAGTTTTTGTACAACATTTATGTACTTATATTTATCATAACGTTTTTTATCATCAGATTTTAAAATTATACGAGTATTTCATTACATTACTCGAAGTTTTGATTTAATTTTGATAAATTCGAGTTAGGTATCTCGAATAATACATATCTCGAAATTAATTTTTATCCCCCTTCAACTTCGAGTTATCACGACCCGACTGTATATACCGTATATACATTATATGTAATCATAAACAATTCGATTGATACAGCCCTTATAGATAATATTATTGACGGACCACGTTTATAGTGAATGATAGTGATGTCTATAAGATCATAACGATTGCATACTGATAAATAATTTATTTTTTATCTTATTTTGTTTTATTTAGACGGGCGGTTGCCCAATCACAATATAAATTTATTTATTGCGTACAAACATTATTACACACAATTATAGTTGTTACGATTTAACAACGTAATAATTTAAATATATACCGAACATTATAATAGTTAATTGCATACAGAAGAAATATCGACTCTATACACATTTACGCATATTATACACGGTAAATCTATTACACAAGATTATTGTTATTAGTATAGGAAAATAAACAATTTAAATATGCATTAAGAACATTTATAGTCATATACATGAAAAAAGATCAATATTATACTTATTTACTAATAACGTATTAACATAAATCTATTTACGAGAGCATTCTGACTGGAATTTATGTAACCCATTACGTTTTTATTCCGTGTCTACGATCATTTATTACGATTTCATTATGCTATTGAACAGTGTTCCGTATTTTGTGACGTATTATAAATATGTTTAACAGTCAAAAAAAAAAAAAAAAACAAACAAAAGAATTATCGAGGCCCACCGAATTATGCTCAGTAAATGTATAGAGGTGTCTACTGGGTAACTGTAAGAACGTGTTCGAATATTGAATCCCCGAATAGCGTTATATTGTTTCGGTTTTCATATGGTATTGTATTATATTGTTGATATGATATTATATCAACTCTTTATTGATATATATATATGTATACTGCTATCTCAGTAGCGAACGCAAGGGTGTTTAAACCTCGTTGAAAATATAAATTACCCTTTAATCTGTTTGCTCGCGTTTAAAATAATAAATAAACTTACAGCATTACGAAGGTGAAACGGGATAGATATTTTTTTTTTTTGCGAAATCACGCCATATTTTCCCCCTTCGTTGGTCTCTGACCAGCCTAAACATAATACATTTTAACGTGTCCCATTACAGTGAGCGCACATCGGCTTTACGCGTATTTAATCGACTAAAATGTAATTATTTGATAAGTATTGCTTTTCGGGCATTTCCTATACCAAACAACTTTGAACTTGACGGGCGTTAAATTATTTGTGAACAGTTGTATACAAATGATAGCTATTCTGAACTCAATGGTCTTATAATGCGTTGATTCAACTTAAAATTAATCGACTGAACTTTATCCATTAACAGTATAATATATTATTATTCTCTATAATAACGTCGGGTGACTAGTTTCGAGATAACTAACGAGTACGAGCAGTGTTGATAATAATTAAAGACATTTATACTATTATAACCAATTAACGTTTCCATGTTTTCGATTTCAGAGGCAGTCGATACGAATAACTTATTCGGATACATCGTTGAAGTTTGATAAAACTGCTGAATAACGTGCGTATACTCGCCCGAAGTTGTACCCCTCTACCCGTCATCTTGTTAATAATAATACAATTATTATAAACATTCAATATGGGCGTTTCTGTAAATCATTAAACCAACCGGGGAGGGGGGAGAGAGGAAAATCGTAAAGGAGAAAAACTAGCCAGTTAATCAACACGCTTTCTCAAGAAATTAAAAAAAGTAAACAAAGTCTAGTTAAACTGTGTCCATAGGTAAAACCAATACATTTTTCAATGCGCTCGGAATCTAAAATATTATTAATTTGTTATAACCGTAAGTACGTCATGATGAATAACAACTATTCTCTAGGTTTTCGTCTAAAATGATTGAGCATTTTATAGAGCCAAAAAAGTCTTATCCGGCATATTTAAATCAGGGAATTATACGAGATGTCATGATTTTTACAAAAATATTTAAATAAGAATTTAAGCTAATTGACAAAACATATTATAATAAATTCCGAAAATAATGATGTGAAAAGTTGGAAAGCTAGAAAATAAATTCAAATGTGTATCTGTATGCAACGATTAATCATTGTTTACGAAAAACGATATTGAGCAGAGTTCGGTCATACATGTTTTAAAACATTCAACTCAACTTTTTCATTATTGATCACTAAGTACAACTTACAATGAAGTGTTAAATTTCCAAGCATATCTGTACGGTTTAACAGTTTTATCTACATAGTAGGTCCCTATCGAAAACAAATTACTTAAAAAACTAGCAAAACTAAAATTTCTAAATGTCTATATAAATAGCGCGATATTTTTTTCCACGTTTATAAAAAAGGCAAATATAATTTTTTGGCAAAATTTTAAGTCTCTATGAACATTTTTAACTAAATAACAACAAAAAAATAAAATTGTCCCATTTCAGTTTTATTATGAAAACCACTCGGAAAATCAAAAAAATTACCATTTTAAAGTACTAACTAGATAAAATTTTCTTTCATAAAAGGGTACATATACTTGATACATCGGAGTGAAATTTCTTGTAGAAGTTTTGTACACAACATATTATAAAAATAAATATCATTGTAATACTAATACTAATTCCTTGCTCCGTTCAATATCTAAAACAAGCTTGCCATCCTTATTTGGAGGTACTTATTATAGCTAAAAAATGTTTTGTTTTTGTTGAAACACAATAATAAAAAACCGCACTAAATCAAAATGTGGCAGTAATATTGCGAAATATAAATAAAAATCATCATAAAGCATCAACTCTGTTGATTAATAAAAATCAATATTATTACAATGTATACCAATTTAATGTTCAAATTAAAATGTTAAATAAAATATTTGTATCACTGAAATAATAAAACAATTATAATATTCTCGCTTCTCGGATAAAATTTAAAATCTTTAAATTATTTTTCTCAGAATACAAGTTTAAAGAAGAGATGGTCTTGCTTCAAGGGTCCGAAATGTATTTATTGATTATATTTTTTTTGTTTTTACATTATTTCGATATGCAAAAAAACCGTATTTTAAATTTTAATTTAAACAGATGCATTTCAATTATTTTGGTATAAAACCTTTGATACTTTTATTTATTAATTTTTTTTTTTTTTTTTTTTTTTGTTTTATATTAAGTTCCGAAAGACCGTCTGGGCGCAACATAACATCGTCTGAGAAAAATACCTACATAATATAATATAACAATACGTTGAAACAGAAACAAAAAAAAAAAAAAAAAAAGATACGCAATTTGTTAATTACATTGCTGCAAATATTTTATTACAAAGTGCATGAAATATATATATATATATGTAATGTATAGACGAACATCAAACGCTGTCTGGAACGAGAATTCAGATTTTTAGCGAATAGTGGTATTTCGAATTGTTAATTTTTTACGGGCACTACGCGAGTGAAAGGACTTTAAAGAAAAGGAAAAAAAAAAAAAAAAAAAAAACTACACAAAAATCCTCCGAATGAAAATATTATTACTTATAAGTAGGGCTAGGAGGGACTTATAGGAGTTTGCACACTATTCAATAATCACTCTAAACAGATAGCTAAGCGATATAGAAACTCGTTTCGTTGTACTAGGGGTTCGAAGCAATCATTTTTGATTTGCATATTTTGCATATTCAGCAGTTTTTTTTCCCCCATAAGACCATATTTTGTTGTATTTATATGTTAAGAGCATATTACACATAATTTATTAATGTTAAAACAATACACGGCAGAGAATAACGTTTTGTACATGTGTACTGTACAACATTTAATAGGAATTTTCTAGAAATTGGAAAAAAAAAAAATAGATAATAATAGATAAAAATAGGCGAATTATTATGCAATCTATACCGTGTGTTTTCCCAATTATATGCGCGTGTTGTTGGTGTGCGACGGCCGACGAGGAATACGCCGTCAGTTGATGGCAATTTGTCCGTTCGTGTCGTGCGTGTGGTCGTCCTGCGTCAACTGTAGTTCGTCTGTCCGTATGCGTTTTCGTATCGCTTTAACGTACCCGGTTGTTCGTCTGTTCGTATTGTTTCTGGACGATTCAATTAAAAACGCCTAAAGTAAAGCCAAATACGTGTAGTCGCCTACAACCGCGTCCGTACTATTTTGTAAGCTTTGTGAAGTTGTGACGTCAGTGCTCAAAAACGTTTTACCGTGTTACAACACGTTAAAACCGAAAAACGTATCGAGTCAGTTAACCGCATTGATAAGCCGAAAAAAAAAGTCAACGACTCCTCGAGTTTAATCTGCCGACTAACAAATTTCAGTTTAACAGAGATCTGTGTAAACCCGTGTTATTTGCTAATATCCCTTTAAACAAAATAGAAAATGTAAAATTTAGAGCATTTTTACAAGAGTATACAGGAAAAGAAATTCCAAATGAAGCTACTGTTCGTAGAGGTTACGCAGACGGCTAGATGCACAGATACTTTAGAGAAAATACGAAATCGCGTATCAAATAACAAAATACGGGTATCGTGTTTCGACGAGACGACCGACGTTGAAGGTCGCTACGTAGCCAATGTTATTGTAGGCGTTTTACTAACTGATGGACCGGGTGAGATACATTTTTGTTCAATACAGAAGAATTGGAAAAAGCCAACCATCAAACTACTTTTAAACATTCTGATAAATCCACGCGTTTGTTATGGCCACAAGGCGTTCAACACGATGAAGTCTTATTATTTTTGTCTGACGCTGCGCCATTCATGGTGAAATCGGGAAAAGCAATTCAAGCACTTTACCCGAAGACGGCGCATGTAACATGTGTACTACACACGGATTTCATCGAGTAGCCGAAGAAGTGCGTTCATATTTTAACGCAGTTGACCAACCAATATCTAGTGTAAAAAAAGTATTTTTGAAAACACCATCTCGAAACCGTATATTTAAAAATGAAGCTCCTGACATCCCGATGACCGATTTTAACTCGTTGGGGAACATGGTTGGATGCGGCCAAATATTATTGTGAGAATTATGAAGTTGTAAAAAATATCATTAACAAGTTAGATGAAAATGACGCGAGCACCATCAAAAAGGCTAAAGATATTTTTAACAACCCAGACTCGAAAGCAGACTTGGCATTTATTTCTTCAAACTATAATTTTCTCTCGACTTAAATTACACGTTTGGAAAAACAAAACATGATGCTATCCGAGTCTATTTCCATCGTAAAAACTGTTAAAGAAAAATTACTATGTCCACAAGGAGCAAAAGGAAAGGCTATTTACAAAAAATTAGAAAATGTACTATCAAAAAATGAAGGATTTAAAATTATTGAAAACATTTCCAATATTTTAGAGGTAACAGACAATTCTATGGAAAATCTTGAAAACTTACAACTCAACGACTTACAGTTCTATAAATTCGCTCCACTAACATCTGTTGATGTCGAGCGTTCATTCTCAAGATACAAAAATTTATTGGAGAACAATCACCGGTCATTTACGTTTGAAAATATAAGACAAATTTTAGTGACGCAGTGAAATTCATTTAGGTAAGGTTTAAAAAATTATTAAATCATTAAAACAATATGCATTTATAATTGAAATTTTTGTTTTTGTTTTTATCTGTTTAAAGGCAAGCATAAAAAAGAAATGAAAATAATAGTGTACCTTTATAAATTTGTAATTTTTTTGCGTTTTTAACGAAAGATAAAATCATTTTTAGAGCATATTTTAGCATTTTTGCATATTTTAATAGCATTTATGATAATTTTTAAAGGCATAAACGCGTGCTTATTGTAAGGTTTTTTAGGGCATGAAGTCACTAGCCCTACTTATAAGTAATTATTAGTTTCAGCGTTACATAGTTAGTAGATTATATTGTTTGATCTCACTATTTGCGAGTTACGACCGATTTATAAAAAATATATTAAATATACTAGAGGCACTTGTAAATTTGAAAAATCATCATTGTATCGTACCTATCTCATGCCCAATTGAAAATAAGTAGCAAAATTTATTTAAATTATATAAAATAGATTATAAATACAATTGATAAAAAAAAAATTGTATTATTTACTATTATAGTAATGTTATATATAATAATTATTATATATATTTTTTTTTTTTAATAGCTTCTATAAAGCCCGTTTAGGGCCTTTGCTGCTTCTACTATTAGATTCCATCTATTTCTATCTACACTCTCTTCTAATGTTGATCCTGGTGCACATTTTGTCGAGGTCTGATTTGACTGCCTTCGCCAATCCAACTCTACTTAGGTCGTCCTCTATGTCTTTTCCCCTGAATTATTATAATATAATATAAATCATTTAAAAATGAGTAAATCTTTGACTAAGCGATGAATTTTCGTTTTTATTTTTCACTTACACATAATTAGCGAATAAAGGATCTGACGATGTTAATAGTCAATGGAAAATATCTGAGTTGGTGTTTATGCATGATGTTTTTCACGTTTTTGAACATTACTTGAATGAAATTTCATATACCTATATCATAAGATTTTAATTTTCCCCTTAACTATTACATTATCTAAATAGGTAAGCACATCTTATTAATTATTTTTGTAATATGATCTAATGTAAATTTTAAATCAGATAGTTGATTACCTACCCAATTGTAGACCATAAACGAAAAAAAACATTTAGCATTCAAAATACTTATTACAATTAATTATACATTTGTTTAAATAAAAGGATTTAATATTGTGTTTTAAGTTTAAAAATTACAACGGAGATTAATATTTTGACATGAATTTTCATTAATAGTTGTCATACAATAATTTATTTTCTCTTCTTTTACAAGTAAAAAAAAGTGAATATTTTATGATCTTTATCCATTAACAAATAATTGAATTTAAATAGCAGATTGAATCAGGTACCTACCTACCAACTTGCATTTTCATTAATCAATAGTAATAATTATTTTACATTAATATAATTAAAACAGAAACGTTTTTATGGGAATATTCTATAATTCGTTAACCAACCTGTAGGTACTTATCATAATAATATGTGATTTCTTTTATAAGTATGTAGTAAATATTATGTATCTACAAAATTTTCATATTCTAAATATTTTCTACATTAATTATGTAAGTAGGTAGGTTACTTTACAATTTTATAATTAAGTACAATGAAAAAATATACATGTTTCATCACATAGGTACTTACATAGTATAGAAATAATATTGAGTAAGTCAATCAACTTTCTAATAAATTATCACAACTGGTTTTTATCAATTTAATAATTTAATAAATAATGCAAAAATATATCAAATATACAAAATATTAAATGTGATTTTTGAATTTTAAAAAATTTCAAGTTATATTTCAAGGTATTCTAGCTATTCTATTGGCTTAGAATTATTTCCATGAAAAAAATGGTTACAATAATCTATTATGTTCTTTTATAATATTCCCTGATAGAATATATGTTTCAATTATATATAATAAAAAATATTAGTTTTATAGATTTTAAATCATTTTGAAACTATCCTTTTAGGTATGTTTTAGGTAAAAGTTAGATATCTTATAACTCCTACCATAAAATAATACAATATTATAACATCCACTTTTAAACTATTTTTACAATAAAGTGAGAAATATAAACCAAAATTTAACAATAATTAGATATTGAATTTTAAAAATCATATTTTAAAGTTTATTAAAACAATTACCGCAATTTTATTAGACAATATCAAGTGATAAAGTAATTATGAATCATTCACAATATTATTGTCTATAGTTTATCTTACCTACCTATTTCTCGATAATTGTATACATTATTTGTAAAAATAAAAGATGCTCGATGAAGATTTTAATCACTTGGGTTGGTACCGACAGAAATATTTCAAATACCTACCATAATGATTATTAAATGTAAAGTTTAGATTTAAGTTATTTCAGTTACATTAAATCTACATATTACAAGTACTTTAATACCTATGAATAATGTATATGACAAATAATTGTATATCAGACAGTAGTTGATTAGATGACATAAACAAAAATACATAGGTATATATTATAAATTCACAATTTTACGTATTAATTTCATATTATATACCTAGTTTATAATTTAGTTTACTCTGATTAAGTTAAAAATTTGAATTCTTAACATCAACATTATAGATTTTTTTTTTATATATTGTATGGTTTTAATCCTAGTAGTAACAGTATTTTATATAACATAATAAACATTTCATGTGAGATATGAATGACAACTAACATTATAGATAAAGACAAACAACAAAGATCAAATTTGTTAATGTATAATGTTCACAATTTGACTGCCTATCATACAATTTTATAAAAGTTTTATCATCTTTTTTGTTTATAAATATTAAAGAATATTAAATATTTATAAACTTAACCAGTTACACATAATAAAAAAAGTATTGTTTTTATAAATATTTACTAACTATTTATTAAAACAGATCTAATTGATTTCCTGATCCAAAAATTTAGGTTAACACAGATTAGGTTTTCAATAACTGTTTGACTACTATTAAAATCATAAAGGATGATAAGCTGACATTAAATGTATCTTTTATATAAAATAAAATATTTTTTACTTTTATGAATTTATTGAATTTTTTTAAATATTGTACATACTTATTACCTATACATTATACAACTGCTTTTTACTTTATGGATAGGATTATTTCAAATATTTAATGTTGATTTTAAATTCCAATAAAACTATAACTCATTTATTATAGCATAATTATTGTAAATTACAATAATTATGCTATGAATATGTTAATATTTCATAACTCACAAAGAAGTATATTTTACATATTTTATTAATACAATTCGTTTAATATCTCAAAAGAAAAATATTTAGATTTTAAATCATTTTAAGAATTAATACTAAAAAATAAATAAAACAAAACGTATACAGTGATCATAAATATATAATTTAAAACAAATAACAGATAAAAATCTTATTCTTTTGACTTATATTTTCAAGTGTACAAATTTTATAAATGTTTTCTTATTGTATGTTATTTTTTACACTCAAATATTTAAATATTATAATCCACTTCAAAATAATTATCAAATTCAATAATCTTGACTACCTACAAAATAATTAATTTATAAATTTGTTTACAATAATTTTTTGTCAACTTATTGGAGAACACACACTTAAAATATTTCAAAATTGAAAATGTATAAATAGTGAATTTTTAAGTGTATAGCAAAATAGTTGTCAAGTTATTTCGTAAAGATTAACTTAACAATATTTCCGTACAATTTGATTAAAAAACCTATATTTTATAGTCATATTCTGTTTATAAAAAAATAACTTGTCATTTTTTGGTAAGGATACTATCTAGAATTTAATACAGGGTGATCTGACAAATACAAAACTTTTATTCTGTTCAATATTATTGGGTTTTTTTTTCTTGTAATAATTACTTGCCCCTTGCGGTATGATTCATACATTTTATATTTAAATTTTTTTTTAAAGCTAAAAACTAAAATTAAAATTTGTTTTTATAAAACTAGAGATTGCCATTTTATAAATTATATTTGAAATAAAATGTTGGCATTAAAGATAATTACTAATGAATCTTTCAAGTTTCAAAAATTGTTTTTGTAAAATTCAAAATGCATTATTATTATTTTGTAAATTAATTTTGAAACAAATTGTTGGTGTTATATATATGTACTAATGAAGAATCATTAAGTTTCTATATTGTTTTTAAAATGTATAAAATAATTTTTTTTTAAAACAAATTTGTATAGCAAAATTGATAAATAGATTTATATTATTTAGTAGTAACAATTAAAACAATTTTAACTGTTAAACTACAAAAATTTCCAAAAAAATTAACGATTTATCACTAGTAAATATTTGTAACACTAACATTTTGTTTCAAAATATTTAAAAAAAAAAAAAAAAATGACCATTTCTGATTTTGTAAAAACAAATTTTAATTTTACTTTTTAATTTTTAAAACAATGTAAAAAATTAAAATAGAAGAATGAGCAGTGCAAAGTTCTAGTAATTTATTAAGTAAATAAACCTCAAAAATATTGAACTTTACAAAAGTTAATAAATTAATTGTCAGAACTTCAGAAACTAACATTGAAAAATGTGAAATCTTTGCCCAACATTTTGAAAGCTGTTTCACAACTGATGAAAACCATACAAACTAAAATGAAGTAGTAAACCTTGAACAAAGAAATGTAGAAGATCAACCAATAGTCAATCCCATTAGCCCATGTACCCTAAAGAAATACAGATAATAATAAATAAACTAGCTAATAAAAAAAGCCCGGGTCATGATCTAATAACAAATAAAATACTCAAAAATCTCACGTCAAAATCTCTATCATACATAACTATACATAACTAGCCTCATGAACTCCTCCATGAGACTAGGCTATTTTCCCGACACATGGAAAATTGCAATCATTATTCCTATACATAAACCAGGAAAACAAAATAGTTCACCCAAAAGTTACAGACCCATAAGTCTACTCCCAACTTTCTTAAAACTCCTTGAAAGAATTCTGCTGCACAGAATTAAACCGTTCCTAAAAATTATACCACTACATCAATTTGGTTTCAAACCATTTCATTCGATAAGGTTTGGCACCATGGACCTATTTTAAAAATAAAACCCCTAAACCTACCTTTATACCTTAACAATACTCTTGTCATTTATAAAAAATCGCAAATTTCATGTCAGAATAGGAACAGATATATCACAAATACATAATATAATGTCTGGAGTTCCACAGGGATCTGTGCTAGGACCATCTCTATTCAATATCTACTGTCACGATATACCAACACCGCAACACTGCCATCTAGCAATGTCCTCTGGTTCTCAAAATGGAAACTAACACTAAATCCAACCAAAAGCGAAGCAAAAATATTTACACTTAGAAAATACATAAACCCGACCCTACTTCAAATAAACAATAAAGAAATCAACTGGAATAACAAAGACGACTCAGTAAAATATTTGGGCCTGCACCTTGATGAAAAACTAAGCTGGAAAATACACATTAACAAAAAATTAAACCGAGGATACACAATACTGTACCCTCTATTAAACATAGCTCTACCATACAAATGAAATGCTCACTACTCATTTACACAGCAATAAGACCATTAGTAACCTATGCATGCCCAGTATGGGCAGCTGCCTCAAAAACAAAAATTAAAAAATTACAAACCCTCCAATATAAATTCCTGAGAATAGCCCTAAAGGGGCCTTGGTTTATGAGAAACAAACAACTACACAGCGATACAGGCCTACCACACCTATCTATCTGAATAACACAACAATTTAAAAAATTTCCACGGAAAACTCCACAAAGTTGGCGGAGCCTGTCATTACAATATCGGCAAGAGATCCATAAATCTAATACTCAAACCTCGGCTACCTCAGGACATCCTACTAGATCCCAATGAAGACACCTCAACCTCAGACTCAGACTTATAGCTTACCAAATCTATTAAACTTATTATTCATTACATAATTAATTATATAATAATATAATATTATAATATTACTATAATAATTTAAAAAAAAAAAAAATTGTAACATTGTAAAAATACTTGGTGTATTGACACAATTATATTAATAAATAAAAAAAAAAAGTTCTAGTAATTTATTAAGTAAATAAACCTCAAAAATATTGAACATTACAAAAGTTAATAAATTAATTGTCAGAACTTCATTAACGACTGATTATATTATATTAATATATTTTGTTGAGTGTATTTATGCTAATGTTTTACAGACCCTTAAAACCTAATATTATAATAGCATGTATTTACTAATATTTAGTTGTTTTTTGTCAACTAAACAAGTAATAATATATTATGTTTTTATAATTATTATTTAAACTGAAAATAACATATTGTTAGAATTAAATTATTATTAATTTCATCAATAAGTAATACTTATTTTTAAGTTACTAATACATAGTTACTAAAAGTATAAGTACCTAAGTATTTAAATATATATACTTTTGTTTAATTAACCATTGATATAGATAAGTTTTCAAGGTTTTACAAGTAAGTATGCGTAACAATATTATTGTAGAACTAGTTGGACTAAATGTAGATTTTTCATTAATTTGATCATAAAGTAGTCACAGGTCATTATCACAAGTATTTATTGTGTACTCTTGAAATTAACAAAAATGTTTATTTTTTTAAACCGTATTTTGTGTGTATAAAAACCTACTCGGGTTATATAGGTACCCGCATAATGAAGAAATAAAATGTTCATAGTTACTATAGAGTTTGAAAAACTTTAAAATATATTTTAGATCGTAGAACAATAATAATTGTTTTTTACTTGTGGTAAAAACTTAGACTTAAATTTGGTTTCTTAATTTCACAAGACTGCTCAAGTAGTTTTTGCCCATGTAAAACTGTCTCTACAGTCAAAACATGTCCTCTTTAGAAGAAATTATACCTGCAATTACTGTCTCAATCCAACCACCGATTAACATGCAAAAACAATGCTTACAGAATAAGTGAAACTAGATTAATTATAATTTTAGAGTACCTATTATGAAATGTATAGAGAACAATATTTGTTATAGGGTTTTTGTAGTATTCAAAAAATATAGCTCGATATAAAATATACAAAAACCTTTAAATTTTCTTTTTTAAATATGTAATTGTTACTTTTTCAATGGTTCATAATTAAAAGCACCTATGACATTCCCTCCAAAATATTGTTCTCTATACATTTTATAACAGATAACTACTTTTACTCTAAAATCAAAATTAAGCTAGTTTTACTTACTCTACGTAAGCATTGTTTTTGTATGTTATCTGGTAATTGGACTGAAACAGCGAATACAAGTATTAAGCAAACATCACGGTGCCGTCTTCATCATACAGAAATACAAGACATGGCAAATTTACATTCAGCGGGACCAATATTAAGCAGTTAGTTTTAATAGTAGAGTGAAACATTATCAAACTTAAATTTAAGAATATTATCTGTGCAACTAGATATTTTTATTTGACTCCACTTGACGGATGTTTGAAATAAGGTTCAAATTATAACATAATTTTAGTCGGCGATTGTATTAAAATCCATAAATAAAATGTTTATTAAATTTAATATAATATTATAGTACTTCAAATAATTTATAAATCACATAATATTGTACACATAATAAATATTACAATATAATATTATATAGGAATAGCATTACCTACTCAGCAGATATTGACTAGATTTTCTTATCTATAGACTAAATAATAATAGGTAATAATAATAATACTAGTTATGCGATAATATTATAATCATTTGCGTGGCACTCAAAATATTGGCAGTAAGTATAGCTACTTTATTATTCTTATTATAAACTATGATATTATTAAAATATAAAATAAATCTAGAGATCATCGAAAACCTCATATTTAAAAATAACATAATATACGTATTTACATGAATTTATTATAATAATATAATATTATGTATGACACATACCGTATGAGTAATAAAGTAAACGCGAGTAAATCATCATAACGTTATAAAGGTAAGTGAAAAAATTAAAATTGTAAAATATTTAAGAATCGAAATTATCTACGATAAAATCTACAATCTATATAGTAGGTGTAGGTAAGTGAATAATACCTACATAGGTGGTTTTGTTGTACCTCGAAACGAATTTAGCATTTTGCAACTCCAGAACGAAAAAAATATAATAATAATAATACAACATGATAGATTTCAACGAAAAATCGAACACTAGCTGCATATCTATGTAATAAAAACAATACGTTTTATCAATGTGTGTTGATAACACTATCAATAGGCCATGATAATATTATTATATTTACGCGACAAATGACAATAATTCTCATGTACAAAACAATATTATTACTTATTAGGCCTTTGAAAAATCTCCGTGTCTCGGTATTAGTTATTATTTATTACTGTTGTCGCTTAAATTGTCGCGTACAGACAGGACGAAATGTATAAAAATTAATCTGAATTCATACAATCGTAATAAATTAATTACTAAGATATTATACTTAAAAGGACGCTGCCTGCACATGCAGTGGGCTGTCTACTGTCTTGCAAACGTATGGCACAGCAAATTTGCCTTCAGCATCAGAACCAATTTCGGGCTGTTAGTTTTAATATTAAAAGAGTGAATTGACCTTAATGTCAAACTTAAATGTAAGAACTTTGTCTGCGTTTGTACGTGCGTTTTTTCTCGATATTTTAACTTTCAAGCGAGATACGAGTACCTATGCAAATTATTACAATGCTATTTGTATTTCGCTTGGAAAAGTTTTTTGACTTTCAAGTTCGGTACCTAATCGATCATTTCACTGCAATATTAAAACTAAAAGCACAACATCGGTTCCGTTGAACACAAATGCATGACGCGTAGCTAACGTCTTCTAAATATACATACTTAATCATAAAAAATTATTTATTTTTGTAAGTATTTATTATAGTTTATTTTTTGTTTTTAATGAATATTACATTACATAACTAATATGCACACGAGTACACGATTCTTCGATATTTTTTTTTCAATACTACACTGTCGTACAGTTTTATAAATTCCGGAAAACTGAAAGAAAATAATAATAAAAAAAAAAAAAAAAAAAAAAAATTTTTCCAAAAAAAAATACGTTAATCCTAGAAAAAAAAAAAATGTGCATTTTAACCAAAATTTGGTTTTTCAAGAAGAGAACTGCAGTTTTCGAAATGTTGACTCCAATTGTGTTATAATAATTGTAAAAGCGAACGTGAACGTATGGTTTTAAGACTGTGGAGATTCGGGTGATGCGTTTGGCGACGCCAAAGACGGTTTTATGGGATACATGGAAGCTTGCAGATCGAAACCCGGCGGCATTGTCATCGTTCCTTGAGCCTGCAGGAAATTAAACAATTAATTTATAATACAAGTACAGATAGAAAAATAGAAAAGGTGTGCGGTGAAACAGTTTTTGGTGATGAAATATTTGGCGGGTGCTCTGCCAACATAAAATTATTTAATCTAACAGAAATACTTAAAAATTGTACAGGAGGTTTATTATAAGTTTTATTTAGTGTTCCCTTCCTTTGTTTTCAGTAGGAAATGAGATGTTTAGATATAATTATTGGTCAACTCTTATGAAACAGTCTATAAGAAAAAAAAATAATTTGAATAGTTAAGTATGTAGTTAACTACATACTTTAGTTAAGTAAACACTGTTTATGTGGTGTGCATTTAATTGTTAATACAAATTAAGTAAAAACTTTTTTAAAATATAATTTTTATATATTTTATCAATTAATTTGTTTACATTATTAAGTAATTTATTATTATAATGTTTTTACAAGTGAAAAAATATTAATATTAACTAAAATCGCAGGAGGGGCCATGATCCTCACCCTCCCTAGCGGCCACCTTCGTAGGAGCACAACATGAGTTCGCCCTCCCGTGTATTGTACTTTTAATGCGTCCCTGAGAGCGCAAGATAATACAATTATTCTAGATAAAATTTTTTATTAAACGGTAGATATTATAATATGAGATGGTTTGGATGTTTTTTCGACCCAACATTAGGTAAAACGTCGAGAAAGAGTGGTTGGATATACAGAGAACACTCCGGAGAAAATGAAAAGTCCTGTCGTGTAGACAGCTCTTAAAGTGCTTTTAAATTTGAGAAGAGAAAGGCAAATAATAAAAAACAAAATTCATCTAAACGCGTATGTTTGTTGTGTTGAACAACTACCTGTATGTAAGTGATCAGTCTTCTTAATTCTTCTAGGGCGTTGGCTTGCATTAGAATGTAATTTTTCGCCAACAAAAGCGTAGCGATTTTCGACAGTTTGCGGACGGACGGCGAATGAGCATAGGGTATGACGCTCCGGAGTTCGTCCAGCGCATCGTTCAAATCGTGCATCCTCCTCCTCTCGCGGGCATTGATGTTCAACCGGACGGACTTGCCTTGTTTGGACTTTGATTTGCCTCCGGCACCCGTCATCGTCGAGGTACCTTGGCCATTGTTCGGTATTCTGAAGATTAAAAATGAGTTATATTATTATAGAGTAATATTATATCGTATCAATTATCATAATAACAATATTATTATCAGACGTCCAGTCGACACTATAATAATGATAATTGAGGACGGAATGAAGTTATTATACGTAGTCATAGAAATTGCATAGTTTTGTCCGTAGAATCTGAGTCTTCTTTGTATAATTATGGCTGACGAGTTAAACATTTCTGTCCAGATATAACTTATAATATGAGTTTTGGTAATTTGTAATGTTCATTTTTTTTCACATTTCGGGTGTTTACGTTGACCCGAACCCGGAATATTTTGACAATTATAGTCTACGTTTAGACAATTTCTAATATCAGTCGGTATTTGCTAAATGGTGGAAATTACAGGTCTCTACAATTATTTTTCACGGAATCTCAAAGGAAAAAAATCTCCTCGATGCATCGACTAGACGAAATTTACTATCAGAAATAGTGTTGATCATCGGAGCAAATATTGGTCAAAAATTTGTATATAGATAGAAAAAAAATGTATTAAAACTATAATGCTCATAAAGGTTTCACATAAAAACCTGGATTATTCAAATCTAAAACGTGAAAATCTGAACTATATAAATCTGGAATTTTAAATTTTAAAATCCGTAAAAACTGGAAAAGAAGTGGAATTGTTCGGAATTGTACATTTCTGCAGCTAAGGAGGTTGCAGTTATTTTCTAAGGAGTAAAAGTTAGGCAACTTATGGAACAGTTACGTCTGGGTCATGTCAACGTGTGCGTGTGTGAATGAACATTAAGGTATGTACATTGTACATTATACATTCTATCTATGTAAACCGTAGGTAATACTTATTTTTATCAATTGGTCTACATTGTGAATATTTCAACTGTTAACTGCAGATATTTATAGTTCCGAAAAATGTATAGTCCAAATTTTTAGTGATTTCAATATGTAAAACCACAGATTGTTGCTGTCTAGATTTGTCCAGAATTATACGGACTTTTAAATATTAAATTTTAAATTCATACCTTCCAGAATTTTACGATTTAGTTTTGTACAGTTCAGATATTTTTACTGTCCAAATTTGCATTATCCACAGTTTTACGAATTTTAAAATTTAAAATTCCAGATTTGTGCACTCCAGACCGTTCAGGTTTACATGTTTCAAGTTTTTACACGCTTTCTAGGAATTTAAATAATATAACTCGGAGTTATCGGTTTTTTTTCTTTGAATCTATGAATATAATTTGTTTGAAACTCAACATATTTTAACGATTCTATAATATAAAGTTACATGTTAATAGAATAATTATCAAACAATGTTCAACTGAGCACCGCTCAGAATCGATTTTTTTTTTTAACGAATTTCGGAATTTTCCCAATTATTATCATTACGATTACCAACACGTATCGTACAGTTCTGCAATTTCCATAATTTGATTATACCTGTTATCGGAACCATTGTTGAACTGTTGGCAAGCCGGTCCCGGGCTGTTTTCGTCGGAGGCCACGGATGATGGTTGCGGGAAATAATAGCCTCCCAATCCGACCGCACTCAGAGGAGTCCGTCGACCGGGCACTTGATTCGATTCACACGCAAAGTACGTACCGTTCGTTTCCAGAGAACTAGATGTAAAATCCATGGTCCTAGAAATGTATAATATTAATTTATAGACAATCGTTATATTTTATGGGATTACCGTGGTGAGTAATAACACACGTAATAAGTTTAGATTTGGATCTCTACATCATGGTAATTCCGGTAGTCACGTAATGGTATAGGCGATATCCAGGAGCGTTTACCAAAAAATATTTCAGGTGGGAGGTTCAAGGTTGTACACTTGCATACTTTTATAACAAAAAAGTATACACACTTTCAACTGTAGGATTATTTATTTTTCACTAAAAATGTCAATATTTTATAAACATTAATTTTTAGTCTTTCATTAGGTACTAAATTTTACATTAATTTTTTTTTTTAGTGAATACAGCCTAAATGATAACGTAATTCAATAATGCGAACTATGCAATATTGCCATATCAGTTATAATTTTCTAAAAGCAGGAAAACCACAACAAATTAGAAATGACAGTAATAACGATATATCCAGCGCTGGTCGTGGCGCGAGCTAATACCTAGTATTTAATAACAAAAAAAAAAATAAAACCAAAATTGTACATATCTTCCTCATTGACAAGAACCACTTTTGAGACTCTATTAAAAATCTACTTTCACCGAGATTTTCATGAAATTTTTGGTGGTAGTTGAACCTCTAAAACCCCCTTGTACACGTGCCTGGTGATATCCTAGTGATGTCGTGTATTCGTTTCGCGCACACAGATGTAATATAATATGCTGACGACTTCAAAACAACTAACCATTACTGTAACCCAAACGAGAGAAAAGATAAAAATTCACCTCAACTGAAAATCTCCTGGATGGTTTTGGTTACTGCTAACGTTATCAAGAGTCAAGACTACGACTGCAAATCGGCACCAATACGACACGACACACGACGTCGGAATACATACCATCATCTAACTGTAGTAAGACGGACAAACTTTTTGTTTAATCAATATAGGTGATAATGGTCAGTACGGCCGTAGTGACCGAATAAATTTCGATCAGTCATAGCGCAGAATAGTATACGTTAGCGTGTAAGAGCAGATCACAGCAAAAACGTATATTAAAACTTTTGAACACTGCCGACGTAATGTATTATGGCCAAGTCGTTTGCAAATAGGTAAGTAGGTATCTGGTCGACGGTTAACCAATGCTAATGAAAAATGATTCTGAACGGAGTTTGGTTATACATGTTATGAGTCGTAATATTTACGGTTTGAAAAATAACATTTCGTACATTTTCCCGTTTTTTCCCATTTATTATGAAAACCTCTGGGAAAATCAAATAATAATTTCTCTAAAGTACCACTCCAGTCCAATTTACTTTCAGAAAAAGTGCTACACATGAAAATCAGAGCGAAATTTTCGGTAAAATTGTAAAACATTCCTCATTACGCTTAAAATCTAAAACAAATGTGCATGAGAAATAGAAAAAACTGAAATATGTGGTAATTTCGAAAAATTAACCAAATATGTATTCGAAAACGTTAAAATAGAGTAATTTTTAGATTAATTTATAAAAGATTCGATTTGTCTAAAAAACTTAGATCGTACCATAGATCGTATTGAACCAATAACTAATAAGTCGATGTCGATTTTCATTAATTTTTTTATTTTAACGAATAGTAACTGAAAGTAAGAAAACTATACATATATTTATTATTATTAGTCATTCATTCTCTTAACCTCGACGCGAAATTCGTTTGATCTGTACAAAGTTACTTTAAAACTTACTGCAATATATAACCAAAATGAACTAATATTGAATTACAGCGTGTATCCACAGAAAGACCTCCTATATATAGGAAAACCCAAGGTCTCAATTATTCAGTTTGACAATCAAATGAACAAACTTTATCTTTATGTTTACAGTACACAAATTTCGTACATATTATACAGTTTGTTTAGTAAGTTTTAAGTTTAGCAGTAAGATTTTATGTATTCAATTTGATCGCTATAGAAATGAAAACTTTCGAATATTTGATGACTCGGGTAGACATCAAGCACCGTATATAAATATACAGTATAGTTAAAAAAAGTCAGTAAAATTGTTCGATTGTTCTTTGTGGGAAAAGGGTAATATAATTAAATACAATTACACATTAAATTATTCCTTACCCTGTCGCTTGACCAATTTGTCGCCTACAACAGCGGCCTACCTATGGTGCGAATAACTATGATCAACGTTTTGATATGTGAATATTGGTATAGAATTTAAATGTTATAATACTTGCGACAGGAATACATTTTAAATTCAACTTTTGGGCTCCGGACGAGGGCTAAAACCCCATGTCCGGCAAGTCCGTTAGAGTATGAATTGTATGCGTTCACATATTGCCATATTATAATAACTTATACAAGAATGAACAATTCGTAAATCTTTTTTTTTTTTTTTTTTCTAAACTCTCGGGCTCATGACAGGCGGATTTAGATGATCTGGATGAATATGGTGATATGGTGAATCAAAACCACGACTCTTTAAGTACATAGTTGCGCGATGGCTTATGCTAGGCTGCTGAAAAAAACGGCGCCGAAAGTTTTCAACAAAAACCTCTAGACTGCCAGCGTTTCCTATGTATTTCACGTGAATTTGTTTTAATTTCGTATTACGTATTAACAATATTCGTACATATATTAATTATTGTTGCTGACACTAGATCGCACTGAGGAACTGCATGTTTTTAATACGACTATAGACATAATAGCTGTGGTTTTCAATTAGGTTTGCAATAAGAACATTCCACGGTCAAATATTTTTTCCCGTTGCGCAACCATTTATATTTATACTCGTGATCAAAATCAATATGATCGTATGAATAATATGATAACGACAGAAACGTGTCAAGATTAAGAGAACGTTATACTCGCATCTACTGTCTTAGTCCAACTACCAGGTAACACGCAAAAACAATGTTTACGCAGAATAAATAAAACTAACTTAATTTTGATTTAGAGTAAAAGTACAAAACATGAAATTTATAGAGAACAATATTTTGGGGGGTATGGCACAGGCGATTTTTGAATTATGACCGATTAAAAGTCACAGTTATTACAAAAAAAAAAAAAAGGTTTTTGTATATTTTATATTGAGCTATATATTTTTGAATAACACAAAAACTCTATGACATTCCCTCCAAAATATTGTTTTATATAAATTTCATAATAGGTAATTTTACTCTAAAATCAAAATTAAGCTAGTTTTACTAATTCTGCGTAAGTATTGTTTCTTCGTGTTACCCGGTAGTTAGACCGAGATAGTAGATGGGGGGTATAACGTCCTCTTAACGGTGTCGAGCTGAAATGATCCAGAAAGACATTTACGATATAACGTGTCTGTTGAAATTTGTACGACGGCGTACAACAGTACCTGAGAATTTTCAATAGGAGGAGGATAAATTATAGTAAATAATAATCGTGATTCATGAATAAATCGTAGAACCTCTTCTTCTGGCATATATCTATAATCTGACAAGAAGAATAATTTAAAAACCGAGACAAAAAAAATGTCAATTCTAATTCGATAAAACCAGCATTTTTCGTTGTAACTTAGCTGAAAAATAATTGCAATTTCAAGCGATAATCATTAAACATTAAATACTCGTAATTGTATTTTCGCGCCGATTTGATATAATCCGTAACCACCCCCTCCCCTGCACACGTCACTTACGTATACATACGAAAAACCCTAGAGAGTACGCGTAGTGATGCAGCCAGGATTTTGTGTTGGAGGAAGGGGGGGGACGAAATACGGTTTCGCTTGAACCATATGCGAAGATAAAGGGGATTCGGGGGGTTCGAGCCCTCCTAGAATAAACTGTTGAGAAAGTATGTTCAGTAATATTCAGTAATAAATATGCATTTCAATGTACCCTCTATAGGCTATAATAGTTTAAAAAAAAAAATGAATAAATATTCTCTTGGACTGTATCTTGTAACTATAAGAATACTATGACACGGCATAATATTATACCACTCTGGCAGCTAAGCGTTTTCGTGTAGGACGATTTCGTGTAAACACGGCAATTACACCGTTTTCATTAACGGTCTTATTTTCTATTTACATTATTCCGTAGCCAACGCATTGGGTCTTTCGAATCTAACACGGTGCTCCCCATTTTCATGTACGGTTCAGTGTAAAGAAAACGTTCGACCCCGGAGCGGAAGACATAACCGCGTAGTTAACGCTCAAATCGCAAAACGGTATGCGTACACGAAAACGGCCCGCGGGGCAGGGACTTAGCCACCTTAGACTCCCACCACCAACCCCTCCCCCCATCACCGGCTGCGTAAAAGTATACTTAAGTCTAATACTCACAGAGTGTCTCGCGGTGTTTGCGTAAGTCGTCGTTGGATGGTGTGCACAGTATTATCAGCGGATCAGTCTTCCGTTCATTTGTCGCGGACCCGCGGCGTCAGTGGCGGCGGAGGCGACGAAATCCCCGGACAAACTAAACGAGTAAACAAACTTTATAGTGCTTCTGGGTTATATTATACAAAATGGCGAATATTAATAATTATTGTTATGGTTATGTACGCGTTCGTTTGTCGTCCGTCACCTCGTCCCGCGGATATGTCCTGCGCGCGCGCGCGTCGTATCGGCCGTATTTCAATACCGTTCGGCGGCCCGGCGGCGACGCCGTCGTAGTCTGTCCCGACGCGGCGGGGGCGGATTCGGCGGCGGCGGGGATTGGTGACGGGCGGGGGTGAAGGAGGGAGTTGTGCGACGGAGCGGTCGTTTTGTACGCGTACGCGGCGTCGGCACTCGGGACGGCGGCGATCGGGACGCGCTGCAAAAGTCGATAACACAGTGTCGTGGACCACCGCACCGCGACTGCACCGCACCGCGGACTCGTTCGGCGAAAAACGGAATAACACCCGGTGCGCCCCGCTCCGCCGCCACCGACGCGGCCCCGCCGCTTCCACAGTCTCTCGTCCCCTATACGCCCCCTCCGCCGTCGCGCGGTACATTCGGGGTAATCAGAAAATCCGCGATTTCCAAACGGGACGACAGATGGTGCAGGGGCGACGAGGAGAGCGTCGTTACCGTGGTAACCGCGCGCGGTCCTATCGGCACCCTTTTTTTACTTTTATTTTTTTTTTGTTTTGGCCGCGCTCACCCCATCGTCGTCGTATTATTATATTGTGTATGCGTACCGAAACTACAATGCCACCGCGACATCGTATTTTACATTTCCTCCCCCCCCCCTTCCTCTTCCCGTCACCCCACGCATTAGCAGACCGCTCGTCCGTTGTCGCGAAATCACCGCGGACCGACCCCTCTTTACATTCGCCCCTTACCGATTTCACTAATGCACCGGCTGTACGAAAAATAAAAATAATAACAATTTGAATGAAATTAACGTTGGATCGGAATACTATGGTTATAACTATCGTCTGCAACAATATTGCCATGATCTAAACGATGCAGAACGCCGAAAATAATATGCGCAATTATCAGGATAGAATACATTTCGGTTGGCATTCAGAATGTCTGCTCAAATTTCGGACTCCCATGGGTTATAGAAAACGATAATATTCAGAGCGCTATGGTCGGAATACTAACATTTTTTTGAAAAAATCCATGCCTAATATTGAAAAATCTAGTATTTTTTTTTATCCGACAGAGTTGATAATATTTAGATTTCCTACCTCCTCCTCGGGTATTAATAATAATAATATGAAGAAAGTTAAATATTTTTCATGAAACTCCTGTTCAATTTTCAAGCATTTCTGTGTGACCAAATAATTGTATGTACATGGTAGTTGCCGAATAAAAAATTACGTAAAAAACTCGACACATTCAAATGTCAATAAATCGCTTATAAATAGAGCAAACGATTTCAAAATTTTACCACGTCTAAAAAGGGCAAACACGATTAAGTAATAAAAGCATTATTTCCATAAAATTTCCGGTTCTTTCAACGTTTTAAATTCTGAGCAAAGCAAAAAATGTTTTTGTTTTACGATTTTGTTTCTTTTTAGATTCGGAGGGAGCAAGGGATCCATTGGTGCCTTTGGAGCATTAGTTTTACTATGATATGTTTTTTTTAATTTTTTTTTTTATTTGTCCGTCTGTAAACAATTTTTTTACCAGAAATCTTACTCCGAAGTAAAGACTATAGTACGTTTTCTCAAGTTTGTGCATTGAAGAGGTAATTTTTCGATTTTCCAAGAGGTTTTCGAAATAATCGGTAAAAACCTGAAAGAAAAGTATAGGTAAAACGGAAAGTATTTACAACGCGTCACGGCGTTACCGTTTTCATTGTTTCATAGTTTTCATTGTTAACNAAAAGTATAGGTAAAACGGAAAGTATTTACAACGCGTCGCGGCGTTACCGTTTTCATTGTTTCATAGTTTTCATTGTTAACGCAATGTTTTCTGCCAGGAATATTGCGCTAATAGCAAAGCTAACAAGAGTAAATATTGGAATTATAATTTTCGGAGAAACTGTCTCAATGTCACAATTTGCGGATGATATTGTGGTGATAGCAGGTGACATACAGCGTATGTAGATGGTCAAAAACTAAAGAAAATAAAGGAGATGGTATATCTAGGGAGCAAAATCGCATCTGATGGCGAAAGCATCCGAGAGCTAAAATGACGTACATAGCATTAGCAAAAATTTCCTTAGGTAAAAAGCATAAATTGTTCGTTTCAAAAAAGTTACATCTCATTTTCAAAAAGAGACTTATTAAACCATATGTATGGAGTGTTGCAACTCGCAACGTATGGATGTGGAACGTGGGCAGTTATTAATGATGGTGAAAAGAAAAAAACTAGAAGCCTTCGAGAGAGATGTGGTGCTGGAGGCGTATGGAAACGATGGAGAGAAAAACAAACGAAGAAGTACTTGGAATTGTGGGAGAAAAGCGTACGCTCATAGACGCGATTAGAACAAGACGCTGGAAAATGGCGGGACACGCCCCGAGACGCCCCAGAAGAGTCGCGTAATAAAGGACAGATCGAACGTGACGCGAGTGCCAATATTTTATTAAGGAGCATAGAGAAAAGGCGAGCGATTGGTCGGATTGGAGAATTGGAGTTGTGAACCAACGGTTGAAAAAAAAAAAAAAACAACAAAAAATACATTATGATATTATACCCTCCGTTCTTTCTTCGCCCCTCTTACGAAAACAGTGGCGAACCCGTTAGCGCACTGCACACCCGCGACACCCGGCTTTTCATATTATTTTCGAAAACGTTTTATTACGCCGGTGTCCTCTCTCCGCTGTTATAGATTTTTGCGTTCTTTAGCCGCCGCCGGCGTCACGGCCCGCGGGCAAAACTCCCCGCTGCCGGATATTTATTTTTTTTTTTTTTGTTTTTTCCCCCGTTCCCCCAATCGCCGCCTTCATTGTTATTATTTCGCCGACTCGCGTAGTCGATAAAGCACGTACACGCCACCGCTGTCCAGCAGCGCGTACCCTCCCGCGTCTAAACGGCCCGACTAATAATTTATTCTCCCTTTTCGGTTAACGCATTCGCGATACGCTTTCCGTTCAGTCTCGTCCCTTATTATTATTATCATTATTATTATTATAATCCATACCGTAATACGAGCGCACTCGGGTTTATAGACACAGGTGTACACACGCCGCCGTCACGCTCGTTTTCCTCCGGAGGCTTATTGCGATGCAGTAAAGCTCGTCCCGAGTGCGCCCCGGCAACGCCGGCGCACGTTATTCAGCCGGTATTAAAATAATTATCATACACTTAGCGAAATATCAACGCTGTGTTATATTACATTATACAAACTATTATACCGCGGCGGCAATAGCACAAGATTATATTCTCGCCGTCTCGAACAGAACCGCAGTCTTTACCTCAGATTCGCCGCCGGGAAATCCTTTCAGAGGACGCTATTAACCCGCACGTGTCGTCTCAGCCCGACCGACGGGCGCCGTAGCACGGAACTCGCTTAATTTTGGTTTTAGAGTAAAAACCCATATTATAAAATAAAAAAAAAAAGGACAATATTCCGCGGGGCAAAACGATGCGTTTCTTTTTTAAAATCAATATTATAATGCGTTACAGTCATTTAAAAACGATAAATTAAACGTTATCCATAAACGGTGTATTGAACGTTTTGACCGGAATAATAATTACAATAATAGGAAAAACGCATCGTCTTGCCCACCCGAATATTGGCTCACGGGGTGGGGAATATGAGGGATGGATCCCCACCAATGGTCTTTTATTTTTTTTTTAGATAAAGTTTCCTTGTTCAACTGAAATTTAGTGATAATAATCAAATTAATAAATATGATCAATAAACATTTTTATTCACAAATTTTATATACATCAATAAACATTCGTTATCATTTTCCACAATATTCGTACACAGATTACAGACCGTGTTTGCATTTTATATGTCTATGATTACATATTAATACCTTTATCGCGGTTCTGGATTTATAATCAACCGAGTTCATATATAATTGATATAAATAGTATATTAATCTCATGATTAGGACCCGGAATTACATGCACTAAAAACGTACCGAATATGCATGCAAATTATTAATTATTATTATTATAAATGCACTGATTAAAACATTCAAACAAAAATGATTACAACAACTAGTCTCGTCCGAATTATCTTTATCTAGAAGTGATTAGGTAATATAAGAAAACAAATTCCTTACGAACCATACATATATGTGGGTAAAACCAACGAACAATAGTAAAACAAATGGGTTCGAAATAATTACTGTATTAATGACTATAATGCAATGAAAAATCGTAAGATACAGAAATATGTAGTACACATTAAAAAATGACATAATATGCAAAATAAAACTCTGTACTTTGGACCTATTGACTATAATTCAAATTTGTATAGCTTATTTACCTACATTTTGGACTGTTGCAAATGCATATAAATTCGGGTCCTACTCATGATACTACCACCGTACAATGATGGAAGTGTTAAGATTTTTTCCCGGGTTTTTGTTGCTGTTATCAATCGTTTTTAATGGAAATTTCAGTAGATATAAGTGATGGTTAGAAACGTTTTATTGGATTAACATACTGTTAACCGTTAACTCCCAATTGATTCCGAATAATTTCTTGATGTACCGGCTCAAAAATCAAGAATATTTGATATCATTTTGTAAATTCAATATTTTAATAAAAAATATAATATGTTATAATTTAATGTATGTTGTTTTTATGTAAGAAAGATTTCTTTAAATACGTTTTCATATCCCCTCCCCGCCCAATGATAAAAAATCCTGAGATCGCCTCTGAGAGTTTTAAGCTTGCCGACAGGGTGTGACAGGTGTCGAAACGGAGCGGCGGGCAACGAGATTTGCTCGTCTCGCGTTTTGTTTAATTAAATGCGTTAATGAGGTGTGGAAAAAGTGTCATTAAGAGGACGTCATATTATAGCCGCATCATGTGCCGTCTTCGTCTGGCAACCGCGCGACACAACATATTATAGTTTCGTTCGGCGGGGACGACTCTGCGATGTTGATATAATATGGATATGCGTAAATTCCGTTAAAAATGATTATATCTCGCAATAAATTTAAAACTGCGGACAAAGAACGAAGTTACGGCGCAGATAATGATGTTGTCTTTAAATTCGATAATAGTTGAATGCGTTCTTATATTAAAACTATAACGGCACAGAGTTGTCCCTACTGCGTACGAAAATGTCGCGCGGTTGTGAGACAGCACATTCGGGTAAACGTCCTCTTGTCAGTGGCGGATCCAGGGAGGCACAGGGGCACGTGCCCCCTGTCAATGTACCACAGTTTTTATTTGTATATTTTATGTTCATTTAATATATAATTTACGGTTGTTTTACTGAATGTATAAATAAT